TTTCTTTTTTTTTTCAGTTTTATAATGCATTTCCCTGACTACGTGAGCGACTCATGCTCAGTGAAATTTATATTGGTTAATATTTCGAACAATTAGCGAGCTTGAAGGATTGGAAGATGGTAAGGTATATTAGAACAATTTGTCAGGTCACTCGATAAGGGACAACTACACGATGAGATTGGAGCTGCATCTCTTTGTTAATTTGAATACTACACTTGAAGTCAACCTTAACTATACAATATCCTATTTATGCTTGAAATTACAAAAACTTCATTTCTTTTATTTCTGACAAATTTCACCCTCAAGTGGTTTGTAATTGTAATTATTCCAGAGCTTTGGGGTAGTGTTCAAAATTGTCCTTATATTCTATATCAATGATGGTTTTAAATGATGCAGTTCGTGCATGTATATTGACCGCAATGGTGGAGCACATGAAGTTAATCCTAAGGACATCGAAAAGACTAAGGCTGATCCACTATGTAAGACCTATATCTTCTCTCTCTCTCTCTCTCTCTCTCTCTGTATGTGTGTGTATAGTGTTTATATTGCTCAAAACATGATCCATTTTTTTGAAAAAAAAACCCTCTCTTTCTGACTTAAAGCATCTTATAGTAGCTTATGGTACTTGTAGCTTCATTCTCGATGAGCTTGATAGATGGAGTTAATCAAAATGAGATGAGGCGTCGAGCTCTAGTCCTTTTGTGCATCACATTCTTGAATGAAAATGCAAAGGTAAATGACTTTAGTTGCCTAATGTTCACAAATTTCGATGGTTTATGTCTCTTTATTCCTGGCACTTGTTGACTTAAAAAATCTCGTGTCGCCTTATTTACCATCCTATCCTCATGTACTCAATATGTCGAGTATAATTGGTGTTTCCGCTTGATTATTAAACAGGCAGGCAGTTAGATATTTGTTTTTTAACATTCATAATTATTCATGAACCAAACTGCATTTGTTCACATACCTTTATGCATATTTTATTGAACCTATGTTGACTGAGCCTCTTAACGAGATTCTTGAGTCGAGTATCAAGTAAATTGGCTTATAAAATGGTTGAAGAAAAAGTTCTGCTGACCTGTGTTTTTTTTTTTTGCTTGAATGAAGGATGCTTTTCTACTTTCAATAGATAGGAAGGGATTTGATGTGCTGGTAAAAATGAAGAATGGGGGATGGAAGGAGTTACGGTTCACATTCAAAGAGGACGCACGTGATGTGCATATGTTCTGTCAGAAGCTTCTAGAAATGGAAGAGGAAGCCCTTAAGAATATCTCAAATTTCAGTGGTTTATGAGTGTACGTGCAACTGCATTGTGAAATATAATTTAATATAATAGTCCTCTAGCTAGCAAAATCGAAACCGAGGTCCAGTAGCATCGTGATCATGTATGCTAAATTTTGGGAAATTTAAATTTGCAGTCTAAAATACTTGAATCTTGTTCCTCGTTCTCATCATCATCATAATCATCATTTTTGGTAGTTTTTCGGGTCTGCTATGCGAGTTGCCTTGTATCATCAGTGAGCTGCACTTTTGAAATGTGAGGTTTATAATTTTTCCCTTAGTTCTTATTATGATGAATCTATCATCATGATATTTTGTAGTTTTTTGGGTATGCTAATTGTCTGTTTGCGAGTTGCCTTGTAGTATCAGCTAGCTGTACATTTGAAATGTGAGTTTTTAATTTTTCCGTTAATTCTTATTATAATGAATTTGATATTGTTCTATATATTGTGCACCAAGATGAAATCTTGTCATGAGATTGCCATGGACTTTATTGGTTGTCTTTTGTCAGATCTTGTCATGAGATTCCGTTGATACAAATAAAAAGGATTCTTTCGATTGACCAATATTATTATTTTTTTTTTTAAAAAAAAAGTGGTATGATTAACTGTTAGTGCAATTTTGAGTTTATATTAATTTATACTTATATAATAAGTCATCTCATTTGCCAAAATTAGTAGGTAGAAAAGTCAAAGGACAATTAATGCATGCTATTTCCATCAATAGTTTTATTTAATTACTTATTATTTATTTTATTTAATGCATTCTATTACTTACTACTTATTACTAAATCTGTAAAAATAAGTTTTGGTCGGTCAACAAAAAAAAGCTTCTTCCAAAATTAAATTAGATTCACGCCTAAATTGAAGTGTTTTGTTGTATGATTTTTTTTAATGCAATTATAATTATAATGCGATATAAATCTGATCACATTTGTTCCTACATATAATGATCTGATATGATTTCCTTCACATTATCTCTACATATAATGCGATAATGCAACTATAAATTATAAATCTCCAAATATTGAATCAGCGTGTTCCTCATTTTCAACCACCTGCGGAAAAAAAAAAATCTCCAATTAGTGTGTCATTCATAACAATGAATCAAGAATTTGGCTTAATCAAACAAGTTAATAGTTTTAATAGACCTATGCTTAAAGTTCAAATTGTAAGAATGTTTTTCCAAGACTGGACAACACATATAAATCCTATCTTGAGTTGGTTCTACATGATAAAATTGTAAGCCAAATTATTATTATTATTATTTTTTTTCCAAAATGTCAAACATATATTTTCGTGTATATATAATATACATTTTTTTTATGTTTTTAAAACAAATTATTTTTTCATTGATTGCTTTTTCGTATATGTTTAGGGTAATCGCATTACGGTATGACTACGGACAATCAACTTGCCTGCGTTTAGAGAGATGAATTTTGAGGAGGGCATGGTCATTTGTATAAAAAATGGACAACAATATAGGAAAGTATCATTCGACATCCTGTGATTTTAAGATCATGCTGCACGGGAGCACTATGTTTACAAAGTGCAAGGAAGAATTTCCTATATTTCGATTTCAATTCAAAGACTTTGCAACTCTACAATATGTCAACAAAATCGATGAATCGATGTTATTCGGTAAGATTATTTTATTTTGTTTCTAATTTTATTTGTTTATTTCAAAGTAATTAAATTATAACATATTGGTTTTTTTTATTGTAGATGTTATATCGTCGTAGTGGATAGGTCTTGGAGTACTATGCAATTTTTCATAATCTTCGTCATTTTTCTTCTGTAATATGTAATATTGTTTATGATTTTTTTTTCTAATAAAAACAATAAGGGTACTATTCATTCAATTGGCCCAAGGCCTATAATTTTTTTAGGTCCGGCTCCGCTATCAAGAGCCACTATGAAGAAACTGGTCAACCATGGGTACTAATCATGCAACTTGTACGTTCCAGAGAATACCTATCATTTAATATTACTTTCCAATTATTTTAATTAAATAATTTAAATGTTCAACCCATGAAGTATTTTTATTAATCTCATTCTCACCATGTTGTTTTGTTTTTCTAATTATTTCTACACTATTTCCTAATCAATTATTTATTCTTAACATGAAAATGTTTAATATGTTTGTAGAAAAGGTACAGGTTACCACTTCATTAAAAGCATTTATTAGTTTATTATATGTTGTTGTTTCGCGTGTAACTAATAGAAGGGGGTTGAAGATATTAGTTTGTGAGAATAACGAGTTGACTAATAACCAAACTCATAATGTTGTGTACAAGGAGGTCTTTAATAATATATGATTGTATCTTTGTCGAATACTATCTTATCGTACAATTTCCCTATGTATTATAAATCTCTTTATTTAATATTTCATCTTATAATATAACATTCTCCAAATAAATATATCCCGTGCATCGCACGGGCACGCACTATATATATCTCGTATATTTTTCTTTATTTATGTATGTAATAATAATCATCGCTAAATAGCCTTAAAATTGTGCACCCCGTGCATCGCACGGGCCCTGCACTAGTATAAAAAAATAAGTAAAGTCGATTTAATGTAAATGTAGGAGAGAGATGAAGTAAGTGATGATTAATTAAAATTATGTCAGTAAATGAATAGTGAATTAAAGTTGACGTGATATGTAAGAATGATTGATTGATATTATTCAATTATATTGATATCATTGAGGATAGTGAAGCTGGGTTAAAGCTGAGCTAGATTCTGAATATGAATTGAAAGAATTTGTAAACAAATTTAAATGAACGACCCCTTAGTATTATGTAGTCGCTCGTTTCGAAAAATTTGCCCCATTCGATGGGAATAGTGCAACCCTTAATATTATGTAGTCGCTCGTTTCGAAATATTTGCCCTATTCGACGGGAATAGTACAACGAGGACCACGAGCCTGATAGACGTAAATATAAATGATCAAATGAATAACTGTGAAGTTAAATGATAGATATAGTTTGATTTGACTGAACCACAAGTTTATACTTGCAGTTGATTTGAGTCTGTAGTTAATAGGAATATCATTATTATTAAGATGAAACAATTCAAAGGTATGGTGAAATCAATAATACTTGTTTGATGTTGTCATACAATGATTACAAATGAAGCAAACTGATTGTGTCAAGGAATCATCAAACAAATGAATGATAGATAACATTGAAACAAACAAACAAGAAATTGAAAACAACTTCTATAATTTGTAGCTTTTTCTTCAGTTAGCCTTCACATCAGATGTTGATGCAACATTTGCAGTATCCTGTGTAAACCCAAATAAGTTAGAGATTAACAACAAAAATAAGAGAGAGAGAGAGAGAGAGAGAGAGAGAGAGAGAGAGAGAGAATTCATTAACCAAAAAAAAGAAAAAAGAAATGCACAATCCTTCTTACATTTTTATCTGCAGAATTTTTGTCCTCACCAGATGATTTTTCCTTATCTTCATTCACCTTCAACACCTCTGCAAAGACAAACAAAACAATAAAAAACTGATCGAGTAAAATTAATTGATTCCTTTAAAGATATAATAAGAACGAAATAAAAAAAAAAACCTTTTTCATGAGGTGAAACATTGTCCTCGGGCTTCACTACGGGCTCAACTGTCCCATGATGATCATCATTCTTCTCAGCCACATTTTCTTCTTCACCTCCTTTCACTATTAACTCATCCTCATCTTTTCTGTTTTTTCCCTCCAAAACTGGCTCGTCAGCTCTTTTTTCGACCTCGCTTTCCTTTTTCTCGACTCCCTTTTCGCTTTCCACCGTTTTCTTCTCTTCGTTGCATTTTTTGTTGTTGTCCTCTAATTTTTCATTCTCCTTCGCGTTTTCGTGGGCGCTGTCGTTATTCTTCGCATGATTTGTTTCGTCGTTGTTGGGCTTGTCGTCAACTGGAGGATTGTTATATTTTTCTGGGTTATTAATGCTTTTTTTCTTGCTCTTGGTGAGAGTGTTTTCTGTGGCAACAGCTTGTTTTGATTCCCCACAACCCATTTTTCTTTTGTTCTTTTTTTGTTTTATGGATAATGGGGAATAAGGCAAGAAAGGAGAAAAGAAAAAGAAAAAGGAACAGAAAAGTAGTTCTTGAGGAATTGATGAAAAACAATGGAAATGAGAGAGAATTGAAACAGAGGTTTGTTCTGTTTTTCAGCCTCTAAGTGGTTTGGTTTAAAGGAAAAATGAGGCACCGCATTTTACGTTGTATTTTCAAGGTCAAAAGTAAATTGAGGAAAAAAATAGTGATTTAATTTACTTTTGGATTTTTGTGATGTTTCATGACCATCAAAGTCATTAGTTTTTCACTTGTCCATTATGGCAATATTTTGGCAAGTGAAAATAATAATCGTCATATGATTTTTTATTATAACTAATAGTATATTAAGAATTAATAATTTATGTTCAAATTAACTGCATGATATTTATTTATTTATATTATTAAATTTTGGAAACATTTATGTCGGATCATACTAATTATTATGTTTTATATAGTATATCTTATGAATTATATATAATATCATGAATCTATCATTTTTTTTACAAGCTTAGGCACTAGAGACCAATAGGGTACAATCTAAGGCTTAGCAGCATTTTAAAATTATTAGAACATTGAAGAAATGCAACAGCCCGTAACCTTTTTATTTATTTATTTATTTATTTATTTTCAAACATCAAATATTATTAAGTTAAACTTAACAAAGTACAAAAGGCGTACCAGTTACAAAAGAATAATGCTATAAGCACATCATAATATTGTACATAAGGGTGTAATGTACACTCACACTGAGTGGGATCCACCAAACATAAAAAAATCAAGTGGATCCCACTTCATGTGAGTGTTATGTACATCTCTATGTACATTTATTATGTACTTGTAGCATTTTATTTTACAAAATAAGACCTTATCAACACAAGTAAATAGAGGGAAATGGTAGAAAGTTACTCTCTCTCTCTCTCTCTCTCTCTCTCTCTATAAATTCCTCCCCAAACC